GTTCTGAGTTATCCAGTATTTAAATGTAGATGGAACCAAGCAGCAGACTTCGTGAAGTTTTTATTTAAAAGGCGTTTTTGAAGTCATAATTAATACGTGGATTACGCAACAAATCAGATATTGCAAATGTGTGTTTAAAAATTGAGCGTCATGTACAGATATCAGTATTATTATTGTTATTATCTATGTATTACGCAAATAAAACTGTCGTTATATTGATTACCAGCTTGGAAGACATTATTATAGACATTGAAGTTGTGTCTCATTGGTTTAGGCACTTGACCTGGGTTATGGATTTAAAACCCTCTACACCTGCTGAAGTTTGGCCAGCCAGCTAGTATCACCTACCCTCTTACACAGTAGGCGTGTGGCTTATTGCCAATTGCATAGGAACGCAAGTACTTGTTAAGTAATTTATGTTATATTATTATTGCTTATATTTCTAAACATTTATTCTTAAATAACTATTAATATACTGGCCTTATTCTGTGTTCTTCTAGTTTCATTCAATTATTTGCGCATTCCTTTACAAATTTTCATTTAGCTTTTTTGTATGTATTGTTGTGTTACTTTTCTCTTAAAACGGTGCATAAAAAACGTAGTCCTCCCTGAGTGTATGACCTTAACAGGGAGTTATTATGTGACAGAATAATTTTTAATAGGCATTCATTTGGTTTGCACAGTCTTCATTTGTAGTCATTATTAGAAACTTGTTTTTTTCGGTTGGAGGGTTTCATCATGAGCTGACATCAGTTAGAAAACCATTGGAAAACCTTGGACAGCTGTTTCGCCAGCCTAGTTTGGGACTCTTTAGCTGTGCGCACCCACCGCCATGGTTCGAGCCCAGGACCTTCTGGTTACAAGGCGAGCAGAAGGTCCTGGGTTCGAACCTCGGTGGGTGCGTACTCCTTAAGAGTCCCAAACTAGTCTGGCGAAACAGCTGCCCAGTACTCCCTGGAGGTGTTTTCCAATGGTTCCTCTAACTGATGTCAGCTCATTATGAAACACTTCGACCAATGAAACACAACCCCTACAAAACTAATACTTGAAAACTTGTTTTTCTTGTTTTATTCTAGATGTGATGTCCGTTTTTACATGTTTTATGGAGTAATTAGACCGGCTTGAACACTGTTAGAGTTATTTAGATGATTTCATTGTTAGAAGTTATCAATCTGATTGATGTAGAAACTGTTAGAAGTGGTCATGGAGGGAAAATACCACTGGGTTTAATTCGTTTTCTTAAGATTTATCACCACTATTTGTGATTACTATAGTCTGTAATATTGGAAAGTGGCTCGGTTAACATAAATTAAATTCTATAGTCATTCATCTTGTTTTTAAGATGTGAACATAAAAAATACGTGACACTCGGGAATTGGATAGGATTAAGTCAGCGTCGAGGTGGTCACAGTTGTAGTTTAACTCTCTTATTCGTCCTTGAATGTGTTATTTGACAGAAGTTTTCATTGGTCACATGCTTTCGTCTATTGTAGTCAAGATGTATTTTTGGGTGTTATTTTTTATTTGTTACGAGTTGATCACGGATTGATATTAGTTAGAGAACCATTAAAAACCATGGAGTACTGGACAGCTGTTTCATCCTAGTTTGGAAATCATTGGCAGTACGCACCCACTGGGGTTCGAACCTAGGACCTTCAAGTTACAAGTCAAGCAAGCTCGTATACCATTCAGCCACTGGGACCCGATTCAATGTCTCATGAATTCTAATTTCTACCAATTCTTGATTTAGCGCGACGAGCTGTCCAGTACTCCGGTGCTGGTTTTCAATGGTTCTCTTATTGATATCAATCCGTGATCAACTCGTAACAAACAAAACTAACCCTTACAAACCAAACTATAGAATGTTATTTTTTACCTGAATGACTGTGGAATAATTAAGTTGTTTAAATGAAGATCATTTGGTGAAATCCACCTGCTGCATAGTAGTTTATGGGTAGTTATCGTCTCAGGGATGTTTCTCTTTCATCATATTTGAGTATATTATATTTTTGAAGAGTCGTTATATTCTCTAGTTTATGTTTCGTTATCCTACTAGTCATCATTTTCAGTGTTGCATTTAGTAGAATTTATGAAACTATAAAAATATATATGTGTATGGCAGTCTCTATATATCTGATAATTAATTTGAGTTCCAATTGCCTGGAGAGTTGCTTGTAGTAGATATCATCCAGGTAGCACATAATAATTAATCACACATCCTATCTTTGTTTGCGAAAGTTCGTCATGAATGCTTGATAAAAATTCAGTGTATTTATCATGTTTTTCATTTCACATGCACACACGTGTACTGTAAAAAACACCTTAAGTACAAATGAAACTCTTTTAGAAGTCCTCAGTACAACGATTGGTTAAACCGCTTCGTCGAGAAATATCTATCATAATTTCGGTTATCCAGTAGTTCAATGAGTGCGTTGGTGATACAGCAGTAAAATGCTCGCTGATCACGCATGTGGTCGTAGGTTCGATCCCCGGCGGATGCATTCCTTCACCTCGCTAGGCCAGTAATGCGACTGGTAAAGAGAGAAAGTTGGGCATAAGGCTACCAATCCCATCCTGTAAAAGTAATAAACACCACTGCTACTGAAACTTCAAGCCTCTAGCTTGATGCTCTATGTTCCACTAGGAACTTAAAGGAATAAGAAAAAAAATAGCTCAGTGACATGAAAGAAAAGAGAATATCTCAGAAACGATTAACCAATTATTATAATGGCAAGCAGTAGGTAAACCAATGATATCTCTTAAAAGAATCCCAATCTAGAAATTCTGCAATAGGTCTGAAAAAATTCAAGTGACATTTAAGAAACCTTTATATGAAGTCATTTATTTTTAGCTATTTTTATTTTTGATTACAGCTTGATTCCACACTGTATTTTTGGTACAAGTATGGAATTTTCAGCATGTGATATCCGTAGCCCAAATTTTGCAGGCCGACCATAGATATCAGGGGATCGAACCCCTCACCATGAGCATGGTCGGCGAGAGTCCCAACCACTGTGCCACCGACGCACAGTACGTACAACTCTTATCCAGGAACATTTGTGGCATACTATTCAAGAAATAAGCAACCATAAAGTGTCAGTAAATCGAGACTATCTATGAACTTTTAATTGAACACTGGTTGTTTGCTGCCTACTGTTCAATCAAAGTATCTAGTACAGTCCTACAGAAGGTTGATCATGCTCCCAAATAGCGTCTCTAACTGCAGCACTAAATGATGCGGGTTCGAATCTCAGGAGATATGAAATCCGTCAAGGCTGCATATACGCTGACTGTATGTGACAACAAGCACGACACCTGGGTTCAAAGCCTCCTGCTGATTACATCCAATCACCATTTATGAACCCGTTAGAAACGGAAATCAGGCAAAATTTTAACTTCAAATGTCGTCCTACCGCAGGCGGAAAAATAGGTGTTTCGAAACTGCAAAACTTTGTCAAATAATGGCATAATAAAAAAGTATCTTCCGAATAAAGCAGTAACATTCTCATATCAAACAAGAAACTACCAAGAAACTCAGTTCAGATGGAAATTTGAAAGGTCAAGTAAGTTGGAACATGTTATGAGGCAAAACCCTACTCTTTGAAACATTAGTTGGTGGTTAAACCCAATGGAAGTAACCCCCGAATAAGAGTATTTCACCTTGACCTGTATAAAAATGATAAGGTCGATTAACAACAGAATTATTATGAGTGAATGACAAACCATTTCAGTAATCGAATCAAAAAAATTAATCATGAAACAGTTCACTAAACTGAAAAAAAAATTCTAAACCATACACTCCATGAGAAATATCGTTGTAAATGCACGTGAATAACATACTGAGAATTAAATTTCTCTGTAGAATTGAACTGGTGATTTCTTGTCTATTATAAACTGTTCACCCGAGAAAAAGTTGATGTGGGGTGATGTCCTGATGACTTGGGCCAAGGATAACGCTGTCAGTCTTGATATGACCTTCAATACTACTTTGTGACCATTGGCTGGATGGCCTATAAGCTTACCCTGTGACCTGGTGGCCCTGGGTTCGAATCCTGGCCGGTGCGTACCGCTGAAGAGTCCCAAACTAAGAGGAGACAGCTGTCAAGTACTCCGGGTTTTTCAGTGGTTTTCTAATTGACATCAACTCGTGATCAATCCTGTGACCACTTAATTTCACTATAAAGTTGATCAGAACTAAAATCTGGGAGATGTCAATTTAGGAACCTTATGCTATTATTGTTCCATTCAGTCACATGTTATTCTAATTATTATTATTACTATTATTCAGGTCAATGTCCTTTGTATTAATTAGTCTTCTCATTCATTTTATGCATGAACTATTGATTAAAGCTATGACTACTGTTCTTAAATACACTCATCTTCCAACTCATCAATGTTCTCTATTCATCAGTTGGAATTAATTTAAATTTCGAAGTCTTGTTTAATGTGTATAGGCTGTTTCATCAGAGGATTTCCTTTTTTGAAATTAGAAGAGAAAAGAGAAGAAGAAAAGGCTGCTGTCTTTTACCGCAAGTCTTTAATTGGCTAGCAATATTGAGTTTAGGCATAGAGTGGTAAGTAAGGAAGGAAGGGAAATCAATCGATGGGGTTGTTTAGCAGCCAGATCGATTGAAGTGACTAGTACGCGTGTTGCGCATCCCGAGCCACCGTCTTCCTTGATGAGCAATTTTAGCTGACATATAGTTGAGTTGGAAAACAGTTAAGATTGGTCAAATCCCATCCTGAGATCAATCCATGTAGTATTTGACAATTTGTTTGGGCTAAATTTAGAAAGGGAGTTGTAGACTGCTTGGTTTAGATTCTCAGGAGGTCAAGAGTCACTGGCTGAAGACTTTTGGTGATATGATTTAAACTCGCTGTTACTGGTACATATGCATTCAGCCTTTGTGCTCTGTGTGTGTGCATGCGTGTGTGTGTCAGTTTGTGTTCCGCATGTATTATTTATTATATTGTATTTTTGTTTCTGCTTTATGTTTCAGCCATTATCCTGCTCTTCATCTGGTGATTCAGATATTGGAGAAAGCAATACAAACTCTGTTATTGAAGTTGACGAAGGTGATGGTGATGATGATCTGCCGTTATCTGCATTCCTTCCATTGAAATCAGTTAATCTGCCCAATACAATGATCAATAACAACAGTGATAATAGTATTAATAGTAATAGTAGTAGCAGTAGTGATAATAGTTTAAATACTAGTAATTGTAGTAATGGCAGTAATAATAATTATGATAATAATACTACTACTACTACTACTAATAATAATAATAATAACAATAATGATAGTTGTATTATTATTAACAATGACATTAATACTAGTGATAATATCAATAATCATAAAATTGTTCATTCATCCTGTCAGTGTACAAAACCTGCAGTTGTAGATGATCCACGATGGGATGGTGAATATTGTTCCCCGGAATGTCTTATTCGTGTTTGTCATGAAGCATTTCAATCATGGCTAGAAAATCAACACAGTTGATAACAGGAAGCAGATTCATTCAGTGTGAAGTGAAAAACAAAGAAAAGGAAGAGGAAGAATAGAAAACGAAACAAGAAATAGCTTGGAAGCGATCAAGATCTTCAGTAAAGAATAAGACCATCATCACCACCACCAACACACAAAAACAAAAACAGGTCTTGTGCACACCCTTCAGTCCTATTCTTTTGATCTCTGTATATTATTATTATTATTATTATTATTACTATAAGTATTGTTTGAAGTTGTTTTCAATATATGTACATTCGTTCGCCTTTCCTTTCCAGTGATAATACCTTGTAATCAGCATTGCTGAAAATCAACCTGTGTTAATATGAAATCAGTTATGGCTATTAATATATATATGTATGTGTGCCAGAGAAGAGATATGTGTATAATTTAATTACTTGTACAAATTCCCGTGTGATTTAATCCTTAGAAAAAAGAGGAAGAAGCTGTTTTCTTCTTCGTCTTCTTCTCCGATGTCTTTTTCGCCTTCGTACCTTCCTTCTTCCTTCTGTGTAAATTTTGCCAACCATGGAAGTCTTTTTGTCTTAAATTCACAGCAACACAACATATATATGAATGGAAGATTGTATGACATTCTTTATGTTGGGGATGATTTTATATATATATATATATATATATATATATATATGGGTCTATTGATTATCAGAACAGACACTAGTAACGATTTCTAACAGTTTAACCTGCATAACCCTTTTGAAAACCAAACAATACAAATTACAAAACCACCAGTGGAAGTGTTGCTCCTTGACGTTGTGTAATCATTCTTCACCTTTTAGTCAACTGGTGGGGTTCTGGTTGTCTATTGGCATTACTGGTTGATATAGTCCTTCTAGGCGAGGACGCTGACAAAATGCAGAGTCTTCTAAACACCTTAAGCTGCAATCTATGAACGTTTGGGATGCGATTCGCTCCCACCAAATGCAAGATGATGTTACAGGACTGGTCTACACCGAATCCTAGATTAGAAATAGGGAATGAAGTGGTAGAGCACGTTGACCGCTTCACTTATTTGGGAAGTACCATCAGCCAGCGCCAACGGGTTGATCTCTGAGGAAATCTCAGCACGGATACAGGGGGCTCGTTTCGCATTTGCCAGTTTACGCCGTCTCTGGCGTAGACGAGATATCCGACTATCGACCAAAGGGCGGGTGTACTGCTCATCAGTCCGCTCCGTCCTCCTTTATGGCTGGCTGTGAGACCTGGCCATTGAGAGTGGAAGACATGAAAAGATTAGCTGTCTTTGATCATAGGTGCCTGCGTTCTATCTCCCGTGTGAAGTGGCATAATAAGGTGAGCAATATTGAGGTTAGGCGTCGAGCTCTAGATGAGTTGTAGGGGAAATCAATCGACGAGGCTGTGAAATTGCATAGACTGAGATGGTTAGGACATGTGTTACGTATGCCTAGACATCGCCTTCCTCGACAAAAGGCAATGTTAGCTGACATAGGGTCAGGCTGGAAAAGAGCTAGCGGCGGTCAAACCAAAACATGGCACCAGTCAATGAAATCTACAACAGTTAGTTTAAGCCAGCCACGTAGGAAGGTGTAGACTACCTGACTGGTTGGGGTCCTCGAAACGGTGAAAACCAATGGTTGGAAACAATTGGTGACATGGCTCAAAATCGTTCTCAATGGCTGGTGCAGATGCATCCACTTCTTGTGACTTATGATTTCCAATGAAACTACTTTGTTCTTCGATATTACTCTTCCTTTGTCTCACACGTCTGCTTACTGTCTCTATTATGCATTTCTTCTACCTTCTTCGCTTGCTTTGTGTGCTACATGGAGTGTGGCGACTTGAACTGGTGCACATCGTGCAAAGTTCTATGTCGAAAATAGACAAACTGATTGATGTTCTCACTATTAGACAATAAGTAGTATATGTAGAGTGATGCATTTGTGCTTACTTTCTTGATCGCCATTTGTCGTGTCAAGCCGACCACTTGCTTTTTAGCCTCAATAATTTCGGTTTCCAAAGGAAACTGTAGAGGTGACATTATACCTCGTGGGACTGTTTAAATTGCGCGAATTGTATGCAGTGGGTTCCAGGTTCGTGCCCTGCTTCGCCCAAACACCAGCCTGGACAAATGGTTAGTAATGTCAGCCTTTACACATTAAGTGTGTTGAGTAAAACATCTGCTCTGGGTAAATGAATTTTAAGGTGATTTTGAAAAATGGCAATACAAATGACTATGCCATGGTGCAGTGGTAGAATGCTCACCAACCACGAACGTGGTCCGGTGTTCGATCCACGACGAATGCACTCCTTAATCTTGATTAGCTGGTGGGAAATCTGGTAAAGAGGGGAGGTTGAGCGTGAGACTAGTGACTCCCCAACGCTACTGAAACTTCAAAGCTGATGCCCTATATCCCGCTTGGAACGCCAAAGGAATGAAATAATTAGAATATTATTCATCATCACAACGAGGAAATAGATCAATGTAGAACAGACAACTCCAAATCATGTAATCCTGCTTGAACTGACTACCATAATTGAACAGCAAATCTGATACATAGACAAGCAGAGAGTAATTCAAGCCATGAAATTTACTCTTATGTTCCACACTTTATTGTTTTCTTTTGATTACTTCACTGCAATGCTTATCCGCCAGTAGAAGAGACTATTGACAAAGTTCAATATTAATTAAGACACAAAATAATCGAGCAAAGAATATTCTATGTTGAATCCAGACAGAGAGATTCTTTTCGATAAATTCCGGCTCTACAACTATACATATGTTTATATATACAGAAAATTCTAGATTTGTTGAAAGGATAAGAGATTTAAATGGTGATAATAAATTCATGATATCGTTTGACGTATCTTCTTTATTCACCAATGTACCACTTATGGAAACAGTGGATTTTGTATGCGAAGAACTCAAAAGATGAAACGTCGATGTTGGCATTCTTATATCTTTTATGAAAGAGCTTCTCTTGAAATGTAAAATGAATGTCCACTTTTTATTTAATAAGGAACCATATAGACAAATCGACGGTGTGGCAGTGGGGTCGCCACTAGGACCTATTCTAGCCAACATTTTCCTTGCGAAACTAGAAAATGAGCTCATGAAGGATGTTATTAATGAACTCGAATTTTATTGTCGGTACATGGATGATACATTTTTGATTATGAAAAACGAGAAGGAAGCAACGAGCATCCTGCATACATTTAAAGAGGTACATCCTGCGATGAATTTTACTATTGAGAAAGAAAAAGACTCTATTATTTCATTTTTAGACGTCCTTATGACCAGAAAAGAGGATAGCACAATAAGAAGAAGTGTTTATAGAAAACCTACATCAACGGGCCAGTACACACATTTTCTCAGCTTTGTGCCCCTGAAATACAAATGCAATCTGATAAAGTGCTTGGTTCACAGAGCAACAGCGATTTGCTCGGACGAATGTCTTGATTAGTAACTTAACAATATTAAACGGTTGCAAAGTGAAAATGGTCATCCTGAGAAGTTTATTGATAAGAATCTGAATCTAAAACCAAAGCAGCCCAAGTTACCAACAGTTCCAAAAAAGGCCTTATTCTTACAGATGCAGTTCCTTGGGGACAACACTAGCGAGATACTAACACAGCGCCTCAGAAATGCGGTAAGAAGAGCATTCCCTGCTGCTGCTTTTAAACCACTCCTCTTCTGCATTCGGGAGTGAAAGACAAACTGCCTAATTTCGCCTCTTCCATGTGTATCTACCAGTTTAACTGCACCTGTGTAGCCAGTTACATAGGGCGTATAATCAGGCGGGTTTCTCGTCGTATTTCTGAACATCACCCTGTGTGGTTAAGCAAAGGTCAAACAAAATCTATTCGCAGCGCTATTCTGTCTCATCTTGTGGAGACAGAACACAAGATTGACGTTAACCATGCTTTCAGAGTCATTTACCGCATACCTACGAATGTCAATTTTACCTTAACATTTTGAGTACTAAATATTGCTGAGGCTGTTGGGATCCATATCAACAAGCCTAATTTATGCATCCAAAAGAAGTTAATTCAGACATTATCATTACCTTGGCCATCTAGGTCTGAATGATTCTGAATTTTTGTGGAATTTCCCTAATTTTAGTTGATATTCTATTTGCTATTATATCTTTATTATTATTATAATTTCAGCATCTTTAATGAACTGTAATTGCATTGTGATCTTACTTTACAAATCGATATTATTTAAAAAACACATATTGTTATTAACTACTAGTCTAGAATATTTTGTGTATATAAACATATATATATTTAATTGTTGATTCGGAAGAGGATTTTATCGAAAAGAATATTCTTTGCTCGATTATTTTGTGTTTTATAGATGTCTGAATGAATATTTTTGCAATAGTAATTAAATTACATAATTAGTTAGCATTTGATTTTCAACTTGTAGCAGTGATATTGAAGAAGAAATATTTCAGATAAATTGTAAAAATTGCTTGTCAGGAGTTTTCTTACCTATAATGGCAATCGGTAAATCCACTCTTATAAGTAATTTACAATTTCCAAAATGGAAGAATTCGTGTGATTTTCACACAGATTATCCTCAAGATTCGATATGTACATATATATCAAATGTATTAGAAACTTAACTCGAAGACTGCGTTTGTTTCTCTCAGTTAAGAAATCACAGGTAACTGACTAGTGTGAATTATACTCTTCCAAAGACTGAAATTTTACTATTTACATATTGCTGCTGAGTGTAATCACACACGTCATTCCTTACTGTCGGGCAGTAATCATTAGTTGGAGACTACTGAAGCTGGTTTTCTTAGTCCGTAGAGCTGGACAGCTGTTTCGTCCTCGAGTGAGACTCTTCGGCAGCGCACGCCCATGACCCCCTCAGGGTCACGGCGCGTAGGCGCCGTCACCCGTAGCGTGGTAGACTCCGCTGGTCATGAATTACTACTATAACGTCATTGATCTTGAAGTGTTAGCCGTGTCACAGTGATTCAAGGGATGTCGGATCCTTTGTTTTTTTTTGTATCGCTGATTTCATTGTTACTGTGTTTAGGGCACATTTTTCACCATAATTATGAATCAGTGGGATTCCTATCTGATAGCTCATATTTCTTTTTCGAAGGTAACAGTTTAGCTGTAAAGATCCCGAACAATTGTGAATTTCCTTGAAGAAAGGAAGACGAAATTTGCAGTATAAAATGATGCCATCATTCTATTTCACAGGTTTTCATCAGATGCAGACCGCCTGAAATTACAATAGTTATATAGATGATTATAACATCCTGAACAAATCTCAGTCATATAAACTGTAACCGCTTTCTTTGAGTTGCTATATGAACATACAAGCTAACACCGCCTGTCATTTTTTTCTGTCTTACCTTCCCCCTTCTATTATACTTTGAAAGCGAACGAATTTTCGATGAAAAATTGAACTAAAAATTGTAATGCTTACATTTTGGATGCGTCAATTTTATAGTATTTCTTCTTTACTACCACTTAAACAATATAGTATGTCATTATCATCTATATAAATAACCATTGTAATTTCAGGTAGTGGTGTGCAGCTGACGAGAACCTGTAAAATAGAATGATGGTATCATTTTTTACTGCAAATTTCATCTTCCTTTCTTTACCGAAATTTATCAAGGGAACCGCCAAATTTAT